GCAATGCAAGATTTCTTCTGTGGTCCATCGGTTCTATAGTTCATTGGATATCTGGGTACAGTTGCTGAAGTATGAATCTGCAAACTTACTTCTGCCTGTTGCGAAGGTTAAAAATGTGTGGAGCAATAATACATTCCCTTCGATGGCACTTAGACATAAGGCAACTCTCTCTTTTTACCTGTACTGTTGCTTGTGATCGCATGTAAAATAACAAGCCCTAATTTAATAGCATAAGATTGTGGAGCACACTAAACTTTGAATATGGAATTATGTAAATGAATTTCATGTTTCATCAAGCAGTTTGCTGCTCATAACATCACATTTTTTGAGGAGTAATACTAAATTGTAGCAGTGTAAATCCAGTTTTAGAGTCCAAAGATTTATCAACACTGAAACCACAGTCCATAATTGAATAAAATCCTGATCCATCTCAATCCATTTCACATCTCAACAGCTAATTTCCAAAGATGTAGTTTACATTATCCTTCGTTTCCTTTCCAGTCTTCAAAGAGGCTTCCTCATTACAATTTAGTATTCATTTCTTGTTTCCCTTCCTAACCTATGTGTTTAATGCATCTTTCCTTGATTTTTAGCAGTATTACAATATGAAAGCAGCTTATACATGTTGGTGAGTTTGAAGTTTTTCCACCCTTACTGGACCTAACATTCTAACCAACCCAGACTTCCTGACACTGAAGCTGGGTTTTGTTTATGGTTAGTACCCAGACACTAATCATTCTAACTTTATGCAACTGGTAATTCTGTTATAAATTTGGCATAAGGAAAAATTGCCTCATCAGTGGAAGGAGTCTATTGTTGTACCAGTTCACAAGAAGGGTGGTAAAACTGACTGTAGTAATTATCGGGGGATATCACTGCTATCAACTTCATATAAAATTTTGTCCAATATTCTTCTTTCAAGGTTAAGTCCATATATAGATGAAATTATTGGGAATCATCAGTGTGGGTTTTGACATAACAGATCAACTACAGATCAGATCTTTTGCATTCGTCAGATATTGGAGAAAAAATGGGAGTACGATGAGACAGTACATCACCTATTCATAGACTTCAAGAAAGCCTATGATTCAGTTAGGAGGGAAGTGTTGTACAATATTCTGATAGAGTTTGGGATACCCATGAAACTAGTTAGTTTGATTAAAATGTGTTTAAACGAAACGTATAATAAAGTCCATATAGGTAAACATTTGTCTGATAAATTTCCTATCCAGAATGGTCTAAAACAAGGAGATGCTTTATCGCCACTCCTTTTCAACTTTGCCTTAGAATGTGCAATTAGGAAGGTCCAGGGAAGCCAGGTGGGACTGAAACTAAACGGGACACATCAGCTGTTCGTCTACGCCGATGATGTGAATCTACTGGGTGATAATGTAGATACCATAAAGAAAAACACACAAACTTTAATTGACGCAAGTAAAGAGGTTGGTCTACAAGTAAACACAGAGAAAACTAAGTATATGTTACTGCCTCATCACCAAAATGCAGGGCGAAATCATGACATAAATATAGGAAACAGATGTTTTGAAAATGTGACACAGTTCAGATATTTGGGAACAACGATAACAGATCAAAACCTGATTCAGGAGGAAATTAAGTGGCGATTGAACTCGGGTAATGCTTGTTACCATTCAGTCCAGAACCTTTTGTTTTCTCATCTGTTGTCCAAAAACATAAAAATTAGAATATACAAAACTATAATTTTGCCTGTTGTTCTGTATGGGTGTGAAACTTGGTCTCAGACATTAAGGGAGGAACATAGGCTGAGGGTGTTTGAGAACAGCATGTTGAGGAGAATATTTGGACCAAAGAGAGATGAAATCACAGGAGGTTAGAGAAAACTGCATAATGAGGAGCTTCATAACTTGTACTCTTCTCCATGTATAATTAGAATGGTCAAGTCAAGGAGGATGAGGTGGGCAGGTTCTGTAGCACGAATGGGGGAGACAAGGAATGCGTATAGGATATTGGAGGGAATCCAGAAGGAAAGAGACCACAGGGAAGACCAAGGCATAGGTGGGTGGACAATATTAGAATGGATCTTAGAGAGATAAGATGGGATGGGATGGATTGGATAAATCTGGCTCAGGATAGGGACCAGTGGAGGGCTCTTGTGAACACGGTGATGAACCTTCAGGTTCCATAAAATGCTGGGAAATTCTTGAGTAGCTGCAGAATTGGTGGGTCCTCAAGAAGGGCTCAGCTCCATGAGTAAGTAAGTAATTCTGTTATAAAGATATACCCTTGATTTAACTGCTAAATCATATGATGGTATGAATTACGCTGTATAATAGTTGTTCTGTTACATTTACATCCACATGTTCTTTGCTTCAAAATGATTAAACAGTTTTCCATAACATTATTTGTGTACTTTATAGCCCCGTGCAATTCATATCAGACAGTGAACATCTCAGTCTGCTTCTTGTAATTTGACATGTCTTCCAATGAGAGTATTGTTGCGTATTTAGGGTGGTACGCGTGACAAGAATGACGGGTTCTAGTTCGAATGATTGGATTTATTAGCACTTTGATTACAATCTCTCTTAATTACAGTCAACACAGGCAGTACAGGGCTTTTGGTGATTTACACACTTTACAATTCACTGTTATACACACACTAGTCGTCTCCTGGTAATGTAATTAAAACAAAGGACCTAGCACTTCAAATCACTCCAAATATTACAGAAAAATAAAGCCTTCCAATTTGCTCTGTTCATGTGCTCCCGCCGCTATTATCTCTCTCATAACTCATAACTAGTAACTGTACCTCATAAGTGTTTCATAGCTATTCCTCATAAATCTCTCACTTTTTCACTCTGTCACTCTACTTCTAATTATAATTTGCTCTGAACTTACAGCTCACAGTTCGCATTATATGGCTGTGATACGGACCACACAGAAATCACCGTTCTATTGTTGCATAAGGAAGACCACAGAGAAAACGAGTGAAGTGATAGTTACTTTGCCAGTCCATTGGCGCGCTGACTGTTGGCTAGCAAAGAGCTATAAACATTCATTCACTGAGATACAACTTCTATTGTTGCATAATGTACTGTTTTTACAGAGCTGCTGCCTGGCAACATGTTGATCAAATCCGTTACAATATTTTTTACTGTCATTACTGAGATCTGAGGTTTCCAGGCAGTGAATGTGAAGATTACAGCCTTCTGAGATGTGATGCCATGAGTCTTGTAGATAGATGACAGTGTTTTGGAGAAATCTGTTGTCACCATCTTCAGGGTAGAACACTTAACAGAATATATTTGAATTAGTTACGCAGGATACTCAAAATGAGTGGTTTTACTGACATTCTCAGTTTATTTATTTATTTTGTCTCTATAGATCATTGTTACATGATATAGGACAAGTCAGTTCACATGATATGTGGACCTGCCCTGCTGACCGTGTCAAACAGCCCTGGGAGGTTAAATAAACAAATGATAATAGTAATAGAACACCAGTCAGTTTCATTATAATATACTTTATAATAAGACATGACACATTGTAAACAAAGTATGGCAAATATTTTAGCGGCCTCCGTAGTCTAGAGGTAACGTTCCCACCTCATGACTCGTGGTACGCGGGTTCAAAAACCCGGCGGGGGTCGTGGAATTTTTAAGGGCGGAAAAATTCAGGGAACAAGTCCTCTGGGAGGGACTTTAAGCCGTGGGTCCCGTGTCGTAGATTTACGGCACATAAAAGAACCTCATGTCTCTAGGAGACCTCTGAGCAAAATTAGGCCAAGTTTCCTGCCCAAGTAGTTTCCAATTCCTCCGGTAGATGGGGGAAGTATCAGGTACCACTGCCAGAGGAGGGGGGACCTCTCTGACAGAAAGGAACTAAAAGTATTAGATACCACTGCCATGTGGAGGGTGGAAACCTTGCTGGCAGAAAGGGACTAGGAACCCCTGCCAGAGGAGGGAAGACCTCGCTGACAGAAAGGGAATAACTATTAGATACCACTGCCAGTAAGAGGTTGGAACCTCGCTGGCAGAAAGGGGCTGATAGTAAGCACCAGTACTGGTAGGGTATGGAGACAGTAGAAATTAAAGGGGGACGCACAATGGACCAGTAACCGCGGTGATACATGAAATAAACCCACCCCCTCAATACAGAATACAGAAAATACAGAAATGGCAAATATTTTAATTTACCATACAAAGGTAAAGTTCTAAATCAAAGTTCCATTACAGTGCAGCAAGAAAAGCATTTCTAGCAGTGTGAATTGATTTACATGCAAAGTACTTTGTTTTACAAGGGAACAAAGATTTTTATCACTGTAGAACTCAGCAATGTGGATTTGTTTCACATACTTTTCCTTGTAATACTTCAGTAGGTGTAGTATGAAGTGCATAAACTTTAATACCATTACTAGAGGAGCCTGTATAGCTCAGTCATTATAGTGATGGGCTATGGGCTGGACAGCCAGGGTTGAATTCTTGTCAGGGGTAAGTTATTTTTGTCTTCTGCATAGTATCCAGACCAGCTCTGGGGCCCACACAGCCTTCTATACAGGGGGTACCAGCAGCTCCTTTCCCGGGGGTAAAGTGGCCTGGGCGTGAAGCTGACCACTCACCTCCATCTAGTGCTTGGATCAAGAATACCTTCATTCGTTCCTCCATACATCTTTGTAGTGTGATGCTAAGTTAAATAAGCACAGGAACAACTTTATGTTTGCCTTTAATACCTTTATTAGTATAACCCCCCTTAAAATCCATTTGGCAGAACTGTATTATGGGGAATCTAAATTCCCTATTTCTGTACAATATCGGTTAGGTAACATTAGAACCAGGTGCATTTCCCAATAAAATTTCTTTGTTCTTTGTTATTGCATAAATAAATTGGCAAAAAGGTAAGGAATAACAGTGTTTTTTGTTCTACAGAGTTCGACTTCAGCATGACAAGTCGTCATTCATTCCTCTGCCACAGTTTCAACAAGATGAAGGTGATGTGCAGCCCACACAGGATCATAATCAGGAAGGACTGGAGGTTGAGGAAAGAACATTCTCATGGCAAGAAAAGGTGTTCAGTCCTTTTGAAATATCATATTACCAGTATGCTGGGAACTGCCACACTGCTCTCGAAGAAAAATACCACAAAGATATAGTACAACTTAGTCAAGAAAATACTCCTAACAATCGTCTTTTCACTTACACAGATGTGGATGATTTCACTGACATGGAAGAGGTAACCATATTTGAAAGCATATTGTACTCTAAGTTGTGTTTATGTTTGGATCCCCATATATGAAACATAACCTGAACATCTTTCCATTTCAGGCAGGTTTCTATTTAATAGTTATTTCTAGAGAAACAGAAGTTTCAGGTAGAATGCATAAAGCTTTTAAATCTTAAGTTATTAATGTCATATTAGGTAATGTAAGTTTATAAGCCTGTAGTAAAATTCAATTTTGCTCATGGGTTAGAGTACGAGACTTGTGCAGGTGACTGTACATTTGAATGCTACTCAAATTAGTATTATTTATTGCTTGCTGTTGTAAATTACACAATGGTGGCGGTGGCGGTGGCGGTGATACATGAAATAAATGCAAAAACTGTAATAACAGTAGTAATGATATATATAACCTATATACAACTACAAGCAATAAAAATTTGACTGCACCAGAATTCCATCTTATGACCATCTGTACACAGGACCAGCCCATGAGATAGATTGAATTTAATTGTTGGATTTTAAATTCTTTGGCCTACCATTTGCCTGGTTACAGAGCAAAGAAGTTAGGTATTGTCTAAATGTGACATTAACACTACAAGATTTCTAGGACTAGAAGTCAGTCCAATAGGAAAGTAGGCTTTATGAATTCAGCCACTGTAGCAATTAGGCTACAGGCTGGAGAGCTGGGGGATCAGAGTTTGATTCCTGGCAGGGACAGAGATTTGTCTTTACGTCTTCCAGACTTACTTTGGACCCATCCAGCCTCCTCTCCGATAGGCACAAGAGGATCTTTCCCGGGAGTAAAGCATACAAGGCTATAGCTGACCTCATATTTCCGTCTAATGTACAGGAGCTGTACCTCCACTCTGGCATATGTCTTCATGGTATAGTGCTTAATTAAGCACCAGGACATCTTTGCCTTATACCTAGAACTCCTTGTTCCTTTCAATTTCCACATTATGTGGTTTCCATTTATTGGAAGTAATTTTAAATAAAATGTTGCCGTGTAGTCTGAGAAACAGAGGAATGTTGGTTAAATATAAGATTCTGATCAACTCATGTTCCATTTTACACACATTTCACTGTATTGACTTATGCCTTTAACATACGTTTTTCAAATCTTTTCATACTGTGATTTAATTTCCTACTTTCTCCTTAGACCAACCTGAGTGTTACAACAGATGCAAAGCCTTTAGTGACATCACTGGTTGAAGGAATGGCTGAGATTCGACGCAGGCAGAAGTTTGGCCGTAGGAAGTTTCACAGGAAGGATGTGGATTTCTCAAGGAGAAATATTGTAGACTACAATATTAGTGCAGAACTTAAGAAGAAAAACCATCTTCTACAAACTTCATTGCAAACCTTTTATATCTTAGCTGACTTGAGTACAAAGGACAGGTAATGTATTGCAATGTTTTGATTACATTTAACTATTCTCTACAGGAAGACTGGAAGGGTTTACATGGTCCGGATATGTTCTTTACTGTTTTGTGTCTTTCCTTGGCCTTGCTGTTCATTTATTGCTTACACTGAAGAATCTCTGCAGGAGATAATTAAGGCTTTCCCAACCAAGGAGGAAAATATTGTGACATGAAGGCTCAGATCCAGATTCCTTGAATGGGAAGAAACATGCATTTCTAGGTTATGGCAAGGTAAACACACAATGGCGCTCTTCAGTGAGCATTCATTGCTAATCAATGATCAATAACCGTTACATAATGGCAGCAAGAGTTAACACACACAGCAATAGAGGAAGTATTCTGGGCGGTGTTTCTTATGTGGCCCATGGTGAGGCTATAGAAGGAGGCCAGCAGGACAAGCAGGCAGTCTTCAGTCAGTATTAGCGAGTGATAGTGGGTGGTAGCCAGTGGTGGCCAGACATGGCAAGGATGCAGTCAGTGGCCAGGTGTTGCGGCCGTGAGGAGTTACTAGACAGTCACCAGCCAGCAAGGACAGGAGTTGTTCAACAAGAAAGCTGGGGAATCTACATTGTTGAGAGCTATTACCAGGTGACAACTAATGAAGATGAATAGAGAAGACTTAACACATGCTGTAATGAATTGTAAATTGCATGAATTAGTGAAATGGTTGTAATTACTTGTAGTTATAGTTTCTGCAAGTTGTATTTTGAGTTTAGCTCTACCTAATTGACACACCTGAGTAGGTGCTTGCCCACCCTTTCACCTGAGGATGTAAATAGATGCAGTTTCTGAAATGTGTTCTATTTAGAATATTGAATTATGGACATAGGCCAGAAACTCACTCATCTCCAGTGGTATGTTGTTGACCAAAATGTTCCCATGGGCTGTGCTGAATGAATGAATATTGACATGGCTCAGGAGCAGTTTAAATGAGACACTTATTCCACATCCTGAATTAAATTCATCTGACATCTGAATATATTGGACTCATACCACAGCCCCAAAATACATCATTCGTCTGTTACCAGAAATGAGAGCACTTGACTGCATTTCTTGGTCCTGCATTATCATTCTTTGAAGTTTGATTATTTTAGGGAGAAAAGCACACAGATGTTGCTGAACAAGTGAGAATGTTATCCCCATTGCAGTCTTTAGCATTTTGTGGAGATTTTCATGGCCTCTTCCTAGGTTTCACACAGTATGAAGGATATTCAGAAAGTAACCTCCATTTATTTTAGGCAACTAATGTAGAGCAGGGGAGAGCTTGCACATGTGAGGTAGTGTCACATGACTCAGTCCCTTGTGAACCATCACATAACTGGTCACCTAGTATTTGTTCTTGCCTGTACAGAGTGATGTGTCCTGCGATTGATAATCCTGCAAGCTGCGAAATTTGTTCTCTTAACAGGTTTCTTCGCTCTAAAAACATGTGTTCTGTGGAAATCCATAAAGATTTATGCGAGGTTTACAGCCAAAATGTAATGATTGAAGGATCTGTAAGACAGTGGAGTAAAATGTTCAAAGAAGGGCGAACAAATGTTCATGATGAAGAAGAGAGTGGTTGGCTATCTGGAGTGAATGAAGATCTTGTTCAAAGTATTGGCCAAAAAATATGTGAAAGATGGCACTTCACAATTTCAGAACTCTCCTGTAAATTTCAACAAATATCACACATTGTTCTCTATGAGATTATCAGAGTTAGGCTAGGCTCTCACAAGTTTTGCACAAGATGGGTTCCAAAAATGCTCACAGGTGCACACAAACCCAAGAGAATGGCATTGGCTTTTCTGGACATTTTTAAAGTTAAACCACAAAGATGGCAATGAATTTCTCAATCGCATTTGTAAAAATAACAGGTGATGAAATCTGGGTTACATCTGTAAATGTTGTATTGTATTGTATTTATTGCAAGTTCAAAAGATCCAAAGAAGGATATAGAACATATCATAAAATCATCATAGAATACATACATAAATATTACACAATTAGACAGCACAATGAATACAACAATAATATAAATTATCTCTTTAGATATTCATCCACAGTATAAAATGTATGAGTATTCAAGAAATGCCTTAATACAACCTTAAACTTTTTAAAATTATTAGATGTGTTCTTGATCTCTATGGGCAATTTATTGAATATTTTTATACCCACATAATAAACTCCTTTTAGATAAATAGTTAAATTAGCTTGAGGTAGATACAAATCTTGTCTTTGTCTTGTATAAATAGTATGAGAATCAATGTTTGATGGAAAAAGAACTTTATTTTGCAATACAAATACTAACGAAAATATATATTGTGATGCAAATGATGGAATATTTAACTCTTTAAATATGTTTCTACACAAAACTCCTTACAGCCCTGATCTCACTCCAAGCAACTGCCACCTGTTTACCTGCCCCAAGAACCCATTGAGATCACAGTGCTTCGACAATAATGCGGAGTTGATGGAAGTTGTCAAAACATGGCTGAGCTCACAGGTGGCAGACTTCTTTGAAACAGGCATACAAAAAACTTATTCCCAATATGACAAGTACCTCATTTCTGGTGGTGACTACATTGAGAAGTACCTTAAGTGTATACATATTTTTTGTATATAATAAATTTGTTTTTCCTCATTGCTTGTTTTTTTAACAGCTCACCAGAGGCCACTGTCTAAATAGCCCTCTTATAAAGGACACATAAGTACAAAATTACCATTCACAGCATATCCATAGCATATTCCTCCCATAAATGTGATACCAGCAGTAGTTGCTATCTGCAAATCTTGCTTATTTTCTTTTATTGCTAGTGGGGTGGGACTAAGTCCCTTGGACTGTGGCCACTTCTGTCCTATTGTACCAGCCCCAGATGATAGATGAGGGTGATTTTGGAGCAATTGGTGGAATGAAGATTGGCAGGGGAAACCGAAGTACTCATAGAAAACCTGCCCCAGCGCCACTTTGTCCACCACAAATCCCGCTTGACCAGACCCGGGATCGAACCCGGGCCACCACAGTGGGAAGCCAGCGGCTAACCATTTGAGCTGTGGTGTGGCCAGATCTTGCTTAATAACCCTATTACATATTTATTTTCCCCTGTAATAAATTCAGCCGTAAAACTTTCAGCTGGACCTCATAATTATTTGGTAGCAAGAGAGAGATGTTGTTATTAAATAATTATCTGTTTTAATTGTTTTATTTGTGGTAGTGATGAAAACTGGATGGGAAAGTCAGAGTATATCCTGTGTACAATTCGCTGGGACTCAGCAACAGGAGTGCTTATGGTCACACCAGACTTTACATCAGTATCATCGTCAGCTCAGCATGTTAGAAAATTAGATCCGTATCGTATTGAGGTAGATGGTGATGCTCGCAATACATACAGCTACTGGATTGAACATGCCTCAGTTGACATGGATCAGGAAGAGAAAGACAGAGAGTTTGCTGTCATCAGTAAGGTATCAGTGATTACGTTTGGACATCATCTGTCTTGTTAATATAATGATTCAACAGTATTTCTGCACTATTAATTTTAACTTACTAGTATCACCTACTGGAATTAAGATCTGAAACTCAATACACATCCAAAAGGCCATGGGTTCGCATCTAAAAAATAATAAATCCTTATACAGCCATGTCGCAAGCACTTGAGTGGTATGATGTAGTTTATTCATGTTTGGTGTTCAAGAGTATATCCATCGTGAGGTGCCCAGTGAATACAGACATTCAAACTCCAAAAATAGGGGCCATTTAGATAGGCCTCAGTACACAAAATGGCAATTTTTATTTATTAATGACTAACAATTTTGATTAAACTTCAGTAGTTTATGGAGACCATGTACCTAAATAAAACTGCATAGATTATATCTTCATGAAAGTAATGGTGCACACACTAGGGATCCAAAAACAAAATGCTGATTGTGTTGAAACCAGCAATACTGGCCAGACAGATTTCATTGTTTTTCAGTATTCAGCAACCAACAATCATCTACCAAGCATGAATAAGTTTCATTCCTAAAATAACAGTCAACATCAATCATGTATGAAAAAATGTGTGATATGTCTGGATCTGTGTTTTACATTTTTCTTTAAAAGAAGTAATTCTTAGCCAACATTTTCATAAGGGCAAATTTAAGGTCTGTATCGTGAATTCTATGATCATATTTATAATTTCTGTGAGGAGAAAATACCATGATGCAAACATCTGTAACATGGGCACACTGTATTCGTCTAAATGCAGCACATTGGCATGTGTACTTAACTAAATAAAGCATACCAGCACTAATGTTAATGCATAAAATAGAGGTAACTGCATTAACGGACCTTAATCTTAACTTTTAAGCTTTGTTAGTTGCATATTATAGTGAGCATGGTGAGGTATCAGTATTGAAGTCGTCCAATTTAAGGTAGTGATTAAATTGGAATGTTAAGAGTAAGACTTGGTGGAAGCGGAGTATAAACAACTGACACTCATATCCCTGCGGCACGGAATAGTGGTGCCACAGTGTCAGTTGTTACGTGAAGCCAATATAAATACATATATTATCAGCAAAGGATGCCGCTCATCGTATGAAATATTACACTTCGCAGCTGCAGTCCAGCGAGATCTCAGGAATCGTTGGGAATATCGCTGGACCAGCGGCTTCGAAGATATAATTGTAAGAGGGTATTGGAGGATTCAGAGTTGTAACACCCGCCTTCCGTTTGAATGATCGAATGGGAAGCGATGATGGAGTATATCTGCGAGGGTGGGAGAATTAATGTCCCCAAACTCAAGGATATAGTCCGGGCTTCAAGGAGGACTTCTAGTTTGGTGATTCCGACGGATAGACGTGTTCTGCAAATAATATATTAAACCAGTAAGCAATTGTAATGTGTGCAGTCGCATTATCATTACCCTTTGTCTCATAATCCAAGACCCGTAAACGATCCTGAGGAAGACTTTCATTGCCACCGGAACCCAATCAACATCAGAAAATAAAGGGCGTAAGAGCGGTTGCACAATGTTACCCATTTTCTCAAATTTTATATTGAGGTAAGGGTTAAAAGACTGTGTGAATTACTGTAGGAAATGGGTGTTTCACATTCTTTCTGAAATATGCCTATTTGTGAGTCTTTATGCCTCCCTGATGTGTTCCCTAGAAGGCCTCTTGTTGTAATTCATTCTAGAATTGAATTACCAGGCACTTTGCACAGCACTCACATTTGGGATATTAAAAAAAACTAAAAAACAAACTTCCTGGCCTGTAGTCCACAAGTGAATTATACCGACTGAGTGACTGGGAGATACCCAGTTCAAATATCAACCATAGATTATGAACACCATGTTAATACAAGGGTTGGATAAAAAGTAGTGGCAACACTGCTGTAACATGAAAGATGTGTGTCAGGTGACACTAGCACCATCTGTAGCTGATAGCAGAAGTTCAGTTGAAGTAGTGCAGTGAGTGGCTCTGGTTGTGTTTCATTGAGTTGCATTGTGCATTGCCTTGAAGTGCAGGAGCCCAGTTCAAGCACCCTAACAACATGTTTACGAAACAAGAACAGCACTCCTGGATAAAAATTGAAGTTGCACAAGGTTGTAGTACACAAAACTGTTATCATGGACTGCGAGAAGCATGTGGTGATGCTGTTTTGCCATATCGCACAGTGGCACGATGGGTGAAATTTTTCCATGAAGGGAGGGATGCCATTCAGGACAGCTGTCGTTCAGGAAGACCCCATGTTGACCACCACACAATTCAGCTTCTTGCTTCTTTGCTGGATGTTGATTGTCAGTGGGCTGTGTGGGAGTTAGCTGCTGAGGTAGGCGTATGTCACAAAACCATGCTCCACATTCTGCACAATATTCTTGGATACTGCAAAATTGCAGCGTATTGGGTACCCCATACAATGTCCGAGGTACAACAATGGCAACATTGCAACAACAATTGCACAAGACCTGTTGGACCGGTACCAGAGGGAAGGTGACAACTTCCTTAGAAGGATCGTCACTTTGGACAAAACTTGGACTCGCTCATAAGAACTGCACTTGAAGCGACAATCAAATTAATGGAAGCATCCTGGCTCTCCTCGTCCAAAGAAAGTGCACCACACTGTACCTCAACGACAGACAGTAAACGCTGCCTAGTACTGCAATTTCCTGCGTAATCATCTTTATCCAGCACTCAGGAGAAAGCAACGACACTTGTTGGCAACAAACCCCATCATCCTTCATGACAATGCAAGGGCTCATACTGCTGACACTGTCAAGGATCTCCTTCGCCGCTGGCGATGGGAGATACTGCATCATCCGCCATACTCACTCAATATGAGTTCGTGCGATTATGATCTCTTTGCCAAAATGAAAGAACCACTGTGAGGGACACATTACAACACAAGAGAGGACATTATTCGTGCTGTAGGGCGGTCACTGCTGGACATCAACAGAAGTGGATGCGCTGATGGCGTATGATGCTTCCACAAATTTGGGAGGTGGTGGTACACATGGGGGGCGATGATTATATTGAAGGAATGTAAGTGTGTTTACCTCAGGTAATCAAGTCATTTCGGAACTGTTGCCACTACTTTTTATCTGACCTTTGTAGTTCATTAACCCCCTAGGTAAATAGCATGATAGTCCTGCATCCATATATAGGTTGTGCTTTTTACTCCAAAGTTTCACCTCTGAAAGAAGGGTTTGTTGACACTGTGAAACTCTGCAAAAGTAACATGTTTCTTTTCAGCACACACAATTCTCACATGTACATGTGATACATGCATTTGTTGGTAGGGACATCGCTTCTTGTGACCATACTGTGTTCATAAACAAATTTGCAGTAATGAGAAGTCAGTTGCAATAGAGAAAATATTTCAAGACAGATTTGATAACAATACATACAATCTGTTTGCAGAATGGACCATTTCATAATATACACAATTAGGTGTCACAGACATTAATACACTGAAGATCTCCGCTTGCTTCCTGCTTCATGCTGTTCTCTTGCTTGGCTTATCCTGTAATCCTGAAGATGGAGGCAACATATTCCTCCACACTCTTGGCTGACTTTACTGGACCAGGGGTTTCCACAGGGAAGTGTGCTTTCGCCTCTGCTGTGGAGCCTGGTCATGGACGATCTTCTTTGGGAACTCAGTGACAGTGGGCATTACACAGTAGGATATGCTGATGATATAGCAATGCTTATCAATGGGAAATACCTTCAGACTGTGTCAGAGGTCTTACAGACAGCCCTGTGCACGGTCCAAAAATGATGTGAAAGAATAAATTTGTCTATCAACCCAAACAAGATGGTATTTATACCCTTTACTGGGAAGAGGAATATAAAGGGACTTAAGGAACCAAAACGATCCAGCTATCCAGCGAAGTCAAGTACCTTGGACTAACATTAGACAAGAGACTGAGATGGAAAAAGCAGCCAAACAAGGTCATCAACAAGACCTATAAGGCCTTCTGGACATGCAGAGGCATGTTCAGAAAACTTGGGGACTGAAACCAAAGGTGATATACTGAATGTATGCTGCAGTTGTGAGACCCATAGTTACCTATGCTACCACTATATGGTGGCCCAGAGTTAAATTCAGAACAAGCCAGGCAGAACTTAGCAAATTGCAAAGGATGGCCTGCTTGGAAATTACAGGAGCAATGAGAATAGCTCCAACAGCTGCAATTGAAATCCTCCATGGACTGTCCCCACTACATCTGCAGGTGGAAGTGGAGGCCAAGGCAGGAAATTAACAAACTACATTGCAGTAATCAATGGAAACTCAAGTCTGAAGGTTTTGGATGATCATACATGACTCAACATGAAAAAAAAAACATCCTACAGATGGTGTGTGATAAAATGATACAGAGACATGTCTATGATAAACCCTTCACCATCAGATTCCCTGCTAGAAGTGAATGGAAAAAGGAGTTCCAACCCGACAGAAAGGGGAACTAATATGGTATACAGATGGCTCCAAGACAAAAAAAATAATCATTGGAGCTGGGGTATATTGCTATGGGACAAGGTGGAAACCTAGTTTTAGCCTTGGGCAGTACACAACAGTATTCCAGGCAGAAGTATATGCCATGAAGGCATGCTCAGTTGAGAATCTAAATAGGAACTATAAAAACAGAAACATCTACATTCTATCAGACAGTGAAGCTGCAATTAAAGCTCTTGGAAAATTCTAAATCACGTCAAAACTGGGCTGGGTCTGCCATCAGTCCCTCGTGCAGCTGGCAAAACATAACAGAGTTCAGCTGATATGGGTGCCAAGTCATGACGGTACTGTTGGTAATGAAATGGCAGATCAGTTGGCAAGAACAGGATCTGAACATCTGTTCACTGGACAGGAATCACAAAAAACATTAGAAATCTGTAACTGGACTCAGACAGGCAGAGGGACTTATACTAGGGCCCCCTGCCAGAAGAACAAAGGATATGTTGAAATTAAACAGAGACCAATTAAGATGGGTAGTAGGACTGTTTACAGGACACTGTCATGTAGAAGGGCACCTTTTCAAACTGGTACTGACAAATGCACTTGCAAAAGGTGCCTAGAAGAAGATGACTCAGCCACACATATCCACCTGGGCCAGTTCTTCATTGAACCAGGAGACTACCATGACACCCCCATACACAAAGTCCTACATTTCATTCAAAATGTAGGATTAATGAAGGGTTAATCAAAAGGAGCAGGACTTCATGGTGGGCTCTCTGCAAAACCTTGACGCTGTGGGGTATGGGAGGGATGGATTAAGTAAGTAATCAAAAGGGTAAGCACAATAGATCATTGAAGGTTGCAGTGCAAGGGCCAGAATATTATGGCCCACCCCTCATACATTTATTCATTCATTTACTGGACCACACAGCATTATATCCCAGAAGACAGATTAGGATGAGGAATTGCAACAAAAGGAAACATATTTTTGCAAAGTGAGCTAGAAATATATGATATGAATAACTTTCTCTAGCAGAAACACTGGTCTAGTTGGCTTCTTCTCATCTGATCACAGCATATGTTATCAGCATATAGAAATTTATTAGTAATTCACCTTCGCGTGTGATGTTTACAGAAATTAGTAATGGGACATTATATTAACAAATTAAGACATGTACAAAAAAATATGACACAGAAACATGTATTGTTGTTACTGTAAATACACGCCTGATTCACATCTCTCCAGTTTGGTATGAACTAGGAATAAATTTCAGTACCAATATTATGATTCCCCCTTTCTCTTTTTGGTTAGTATTTAAGGCTTATACATAGTCAAGCTGCCAGTATCTCAGGCTATATAGCATGAAGTGGTAGGATAATAAGTGAGTAATAGATTACAGAGGATGCAGAAGGAAGTAGTCTTTGCTAAATTAAAGGTGTATCCCGGAATCTACCTACAGTAACTGAGAAAAATCATAAACAAAAACTTGAATCAGAATATGCAGTACCTGGCTAAGATTCAAATTGGGGACCTCCTGAATACAAGTTGTAAGTCTTGCCATTTGAGTCAACTTGCGTGGGAAAAAGAAAATGAAAGGTAAAGCTATTCCTTTAACCGGCCGTGGAGGCCCATAGGGATGTTAGACATCGAGATTCCCACATTTTCTAAGCAGTCGACTCACAGATGGTGGTGAGGTTGTCATCCTTACGCCTCTTACCCCCAGGGAGATTCCTTGTACTCATTTCTGTTAGAGGCTGAGTAGACCCCAGGACCATAGTGCGGCTGGAAGGTCAGGTCAATTGAAAATTCCCGTGACCTCATCAGGAATTGAATGCATGACCTTCCAGCTTGTAGCATAGTTCCTCAACCAGCTACACTACCACATAACAGCTGCATACAGGCAGTAAAACTGAAGTTATCCTCCGAAATTAAGCAGTATTCTATGAAGACATATTGATTGAGGTGAATTGTCACCTTTATTCTTCAGCTGCTTTAACTCTGGGCAAAGAGCCATTGGATGTGAAAGGGGCTGGATGGTCCATAGATTTGATATGAATGCAGTGGCAAAGAGAAAAATCTTTGCCCCTAGATGATCTCGTTAAAATAAAAATATACATGTAAACCTGGAGAGACTGTGTGCAAGCAAGTGAGTTTTTTGAGATCCAAAAACTTCTTTGTATCTATAAACCGCATAGAAGACAAAAGATGCAATAGTTCAGAAAATAATACTTAAAGAAAGATGATTGTGATGATGACTTTTTTCCTTTTCCAGTTGTATGAGCATCATTTGGATATTAGGCAGATGCAAGTTGGTTCAGAATTTGAAATGCCTCATCATGGCATACTTCAAGTTCATATCTTGGGTGAGATTTCATCTGCAAAACATTTTGAATATGACCACCTGTTTGTCCATTACTTCTTTGAATTACCAAAAGGTTAGTGGTTTATTTATTCTGTCATACTGTTAACTTTTCCTACCATAATTGACTCTCTTTAGTGATACCTACTCCCTATGTAATTTCTTTCTAAAATTGAGCAGTATACAAATACTTTTGTATTAATTCATATTGTGGAACTGTGTGAAACCTTAAATTAGCATCATATATGATCTGCGAGGTTAAATTTGTGCAGTTACCATAAATTCATATTTCTGTAGTGGCTTCGTTAGACATATTGTCAAAGAGAAAAATTCCAGTAGTTCTTCAGGATTTTAAATCTTGTCACTTATCTTGTAGCCAGTCACTGCCATGGGTGTAACGTATCTATAACAAAAACGTTTTTACAATGTGCTCCAATTATCTTCTATAATAAGTTACTCCTCGTGGTCACCCAGTACAAAGAACAAACCACGGGTCATGATCTGGGGACAGAAAATGCAAAACATCACACTATCAGTACATCAGACCATTGACCATTATTATTGTAAAGGAAAAAAGAAACTATTCCAGGTCTTATTAAATAAAATATAGAACTTGTGGACAAGGTGGAGGGTGTCCAGATGAAAGGTATCCAAAATAAAAAAATTATATCTCAGAAACTAATTGTCATACACATATCCAGTTTATGTCATTGAAAAGGAAAACTCTAGAAGTTTTTTTCTTTTCATGCCTAGCTTATGCATATTTACCAGCTGGTGAACTTCGGTGAACTCAGTAACAATGTTGACACCATAAGAACAGGTTCAATGTGTGTTGTAGCTAGCAGAGTTCCGAACTCTTACAGCTGTTCAGCATCATTTTAAAATGCAATATTTTTACAATTAAGTTTATTTCAGTCCAGTGTGACATATAATGCCTTCACCACTTCAGCACTTAGTTACCTAACATGTTTCGATTCTTAATGCACCATCATCAGAGGTATACCACTACGATCAGGAACCCACCAATACGTAAATGTTTTTATAGGACTATATACGCTTAAAAGATTTACGATGCTCACTATATGTAGTTGTTAATTTTCCATTGTCGAAATAGATGTTTGGTGTAAAATTTTATAATAAGAACATTCTTGAAGTATATTACTTAGAAGTGATGTAGTTGCAATCACTTCCATAAAGGATATTTTAAAAATGTAATTTTCCACTTCACTGTATATAAAATTCAGTTTGTTTCACCACGGCAGCCTTCCTTTACGTTAAAATTATGTTATGATGTGTGTAAGAACTTATTTTTAAGTTAAGAAATTTGTTCGTGAACTAATATGAATCGTGTTTTATCTTCCTTGGTAGTGGATATTGTCGTCTATCCCTCTTGGTGATGTGTTCCTGTTTTTACTGGTGTAGTTTATATGCGTGCTGTGTTGCAATATTTTTGTCGCCCTCCTACATGGAAAAGGATTCAGTTCTGGGATAACAAACTGAGGACTGCAGGTGGTATGTTACATGTAAAATCCTGGAAAGACACGGACCTTTGAAGACAATGTCATTTGCATTAGAGAGGCATTCCAGCGAAGTCTGTGCAAATCAGTTCATGCTGCTAGCTTGCAGTTACAAATTCCACATTCAACAGTGCACAATGTGGTACACAAAAGGCTCCACCTAAGTGCGTACAAGATTCAAATGATTCATGCATTAAAACAGAGTGACCAAGTAGCATGTACAAACATCGCTGTGGGCATGCTAGAAAGAATTGACGCATTACCCAATTTCCTCCGGCAAGTGTGCTTCTCGGACAAGGCGACATTCCATGTCATTGCAGTTTTAAACAGGTACAACTGCAGGATTTGGGGCAGTCAAAATCCACATGTCACATGTGAGTTGGAGAGAGACAGCCCCAAAGTGAATGTGTGTTTTGGCTTAATGCACGACAAGTTGGACCATTTTTCTCTTTGGAAAAGACTGTGACCAGACATTCATTCTTGGACATACTGGAGCTGTGTGCTCTGCCCCAATTACCCCCTCAAACTACCCTCCAACAAGATGGGGCACCACCATATTTCTGCCACCATGTTAGGAATCAGCTGGCCAGAGATGGCTTGACCTTGTCACTTGACCTCCTAGGTTGCCAGATTTAAGCCCATTGGATTTTTCTTGTGGGGTTATGTAAAGAACATTGTCTACCAGGTTAAGATCAATGACCTTCAACACCTGAAAACCTGCTTAAGGGATGCTGTGGCTACGGTAACACCAAACATGCTCGAAGCAACATGGCACGAGGTCGAATATGATCTGGATATTTGTTGTGCCACCAATTTGTTGAGAAAGTTATATACTCAGGAAAAAACTTTGATAGTTTTCCTTTGTAATATTGTAACCCATAAATGTGTAAAATGCTTTCTGAGATATAATTATTTTATTTTGGATACCTTTCATCTGGATATCCTGTATATGAACTACATTTATGAATGTTGTGTAAAACAGTCCATCAAAAGTATAACTGGATTATGCTTCGAGGCTATTATTAATAAAAGAGGTGTGATGATGTTCATCTGACCTCAGGGTCTGGAGGAATTTATGCTCAGTACAATATGAGAGTTCTCTCAGGACATCAGACAGGTTGCAGCTTATTACAAGAGTTGGATAAAGTGAACAGGTAGTCAGTTGGACTTGAAAGGATTCTGCTGATGGTGTAAGCTGTACAGAACTGTTAGGCTTATTTTGGACTGGACTGGAGGTCCTTGAGACTAGCTCTTTCTAACGGGCCCAACTGAGTAGGTCTATCCTGCCCCATCCACCTGAGGACAGAGACAGAGCCAGTCTCAGAAACGTTGTGGTTTTTTGTCTTATATATATACACGAGACGATGGATAGAGTCCAAAGTAAGCCTAATAGTTCTGTACAGGTAATCATTTGTATCTGACATAGAGGAAACTCAAGAGTATGCAGTGGCTGGTGCTAAAATAATTTAATTTTCCCTTTTGATTATAAAAAAATAAAGTAATACCTCTAGAATACATAAATATTTCACAGTTACTTTTAACTTTATGAACACTTGATATGATAATAACTTGTCAGACAATTTTCTTATTCCATAGGAGTGAGCCTGAATTGATCAGCAGAAATCCAAACAAGATTCACCCACAAATATAAACTGTATATTGGCAGTGTTGACTCTTCAGAACCTTGGAGACGAGTGTCCTTCAAGATATGTAGTTACTCTGGTACATAATTTTGAATTTGAGAAACTGGTTAACTGGTTTCTTCATAGGTTTCTATAGTCAGGAACCATGCAACCAATAACAAATGTCCACAGGAGTTACCTAATTGACTGTCTCAACATTTCAAGCCACATGTTAGACCATAAGCATAGCTTCAGGATGCTATACATCTCATGCAACTCCCTATGTCCATGCAGTGTCATAAGCTATGCACAAATACAACACATTCATGCATTGTTAGGCTGTTGAACAAAAAATAATCTTTTGAAGGCTACATATTCATTGATCTTCTGAATAGATGACCCAGTACACTATGTAAAAAGACAGAGACATTCCACAGAAATTTTAATAGTTGAGATTTCACTGTGAAAAGGATAATTTCTCAGTCCAAGAAACAATCCCTGCAAAAGTATGTGTTTTGTGTTTGAACAAAATTTTCTACTGAAGTGTTTCTATTCCCAGGCTGGAGTTGTGAGACTACAAAACAATTATCAGGTGTCACACAAACATGCAGTGCACGGCAAACAGGAATAGCAAATTTCAGCTACCTATTTGAATTGCAGCTCAGTTTCAATTTAGAGGTCTTGCAGACTGAAACAGGTTAGTAATAAACAAAGACATAGATTAGTTACTATAGGATTCTGACAGTGGTGTATAACCCATAGAGATAGTGGGTTTTCGGACTTTATCTGTTGTCCTGGTTTTAAGATAACTAAGAAAAACACAACGTTTCGGAAACTGGATCTGTTTCACTGGTCCAGTGATTGAGGCTAGCTCTTTCTATGGGACCCAACAGAATAGGTGTTTTCCCTCACCTGAGGACAGAAACAGATCCAGTTTCCAAAACATCGTGTTTTTCGTATAGTTAGATAGATAGCCATGTTTGCATTAATTTATCTGTGAGCCCATGTTTTGATGTCAACTCCTCCAATTTGTAACCTTTATGTACAACTTATTCCTTTGTAATGATACTTTTTGTTCAAATATATTTTCTTCTTAGATGTTTTGCTGTCATGGCCACAAATGTTTATCAAAGTTCTATCCAGTGACAGCTGGACCAGATGTAGAACAGAAGGCTATGGTTATGTATCTCTTCCACCTTCTCCTGGCCTACACACTATTGTTGTGTCCACATGGAGACCATTATCTTCAAATCCTACTGGAGAAATGCGAAGGTTTTTTATTGGAGGTTCACCAGAACTGGAAGATATAGATTTTGTGGGCATACCATCCAATTTTCAGGTATATATTAGTCAAATGCTTTAAATAAGTAATATTCTTATTTCATAGCACAACCTCAGTATGAGAATTTATAAAATTACTAAAAAATGCTTGTTCTAATGGGTCCATGTCATTTCCAAACACATAATCTTTTAAGTCTATCTCCTAACTGCTAAGAATGCATGTCACAAAAAGGTCTGCAAAATACTTAATGCAGGTTCAACAATTTATTATTTTTGGCATGTTTTCAACAAAATGAATTGGGGAGTTCGTCTAAAATTTGTCAACACATTCAGAGTTTGATTAAAACTGGATTGCAATAATGGACAATATGCATGAAAATCTACATGTGCCTTCATATTCATCTTGAGCACAACTCACTGAATATTATTGAAGTGAAAAGTGTTTCACAGAAAAGTTGTGGAGAAAAATGAGACACGTTTTGTAACTAACACACTTTTTTGATAAATGTTCTGAGTTTCAAGATAAACAAAAGAGCAAATTCACCAGAATTGTTATTCTGTTTGTCTGTTTTGCTGCATTATGAGCAGGTCCTAAGTGCAGCAGACACCAGACACTTTTTGTACACTAATGCCTTTTCTGCTTTGGAGCAGTAAAATCACCCTTATCATCACTGAAAGTTCTCAGTCATTAAGTGTACTTCAAAATGATTGGCTTTTGCCTCAATCATTGGTCCATTAACCAGTATAGCAGCTGATCTTTCATCACAAAGTCACTTGAAGTGTGTGGATTCTGTAATTAAATCTTCAGTCTCTACATTGCACGCTTGTTTTTGTGGCACTGTTCAACCATCACATAGAACAACAGGTTATATTTCATCTTTGTTCCCCAAAATGATGAACAGCATCTAAGAAGTCAATCCATGCCATCTTCCTTTTTGTCTCTTCGATGAGCCACCAATTTCAAACCTCATATTCAAGTCTAAGCATTTTCATGTCATGCTGTAATTATGGCTTAATACTTTTAAACAACATGCAGCACAACTGCAGAAACATTTCCGACCCCTATACACTAGCCACAAAATACAATGTACAATGCAGGAAGCTATTGGACTAACAATAACACACGTTGGACACTTCTCAATGTCTCAGATCTGTGGGGCACCCAGCCTTGAAGCCATCAAGTTTTGCAAAGTGTAGTGCTATAACATGATCCCCTACTGTTCTACGCAAAATGTTAAAAGACTTGGGGGTCAGGTCAAGTCATATGGGATCTGTGGCAGACAGAGTGGCACTGGGGCAGGGTAGAACGCAAGTACAGAGTTAAAACAACACATTTTTGCTTTAGTTCTTGTGTAAGAGTCTTCCTAGGAAACACAACAAACTGATGGGTGAAAAATTTGGGATACATGTAATATAACACAGTCATGAATTCATGCAGTTTCTCCTGCAATGTACCTGCATGAGGGAGTACAATGGGTAGTGCTGCAAATGCGGGCTGAGAGGATGTGGCAAGTGCGTATCTGTGCATCGAGAACTTGCTATTGAATAACTGTAAAAATAGTAAATTTTCTTTGAAATGGTTGCAAGTTGGATAAGAATTCTGTATGCTTGGATACCAGATAACTGGGAGTTTACTGTATCTGGATTTAGTAGAGAGGATACAGGTATACAGTGCCTCAGGCTGATGCTGTTTGCCACAGCTAACTCACATTTCTACAAAATGCTGGCAAACATCTGCCAGGTCTCACAGCATCACATTCCAGAAGGCAGTAATCTTCATAATATGAACCTTAAAGGTCACTTACAATTTTTTTTCTTGTGTATTTGAACAAGACGTCACCCACAGAACTGATTACTTACTCATGGAGCTGAACCCTTCTTGAGGAGCCTCCAATTCTTCGCTACTCAAGAATTTCCCAGCACTTTATGAAACCCGAAGGTTCATTACCATGTTCACAAGAGCTGTCCGCTGGTCCCTATCCTGAGCCAAATCAATCCAATCCATACCACCCCATCCTGTCTCTCTAAGATCCATTTTAATATTGTCCACCCACCTACACCTTGGTCTTCCCAGTGTTCTCTTTCCTTCTAATATACTATATGCATTCCTCTTTTCCCCCCATTCATGCTGCATGGCCTGCCCACCTCATCCTCCTCGACTTGATCATTCTAATTATAATTGGAGAAGAGTACAAGTTACGAAGCTCCTCATTATGCAATTTTACAGAACTGATTTCCTGGCTGAATTGTTAATGTTTTTTTTTCAGACTCTTCAAAATGAAACCAATGTAGTACCTCCTAATAACCTGTGACTTCTTGCATCAGTATCCTTTACTCATCATTCATGATCATGTGGCCATTTCATTCCGTGCTTTGCAGTTGAATCTGCTTCAGTAAATGAAGTATAGGGTCTGGCAAGCCATTATTTCATTCAGACCTCTCTAATCAGATACAGGTCAGTTTTATGGAAGTGGTGATTCAAAAATACCAGGAATATGGAGCTGATCTAAAGAATGTTAAAAATTATTTTGTCTTATTGTTTTACTCTCCTGCAGGTAGCAGTGCATTATGTCGAAGGTGGAAAAATAAATTATTCACTTATGCATAAGTTCATGTATCTTGTTACCTAACAATTTTCTTCATATGCAGGATTCTCTCTTGAGTAAGTATGGGCTTCATACAATAACAAGTGGTGATGTGACAGTGAAGTTCAACATTATGCACCACTCACAAGCTCTTGCTGGATCTGACACTGTAGCTGATGGTGGAAGAGGTGATGCCAGAGTCAACAGATACTCATCATTCCTTTTAGAAAGACTCAGTGCAGCTACTCTAGTCAGCAGTGTCAATGCTGTTCTCATTGCATTCAAACGAGCACGAGAAAGGATGTTGAAAGCCAGGGATGGACTGGAAGCATGATAATTGGAGTAAACTTGTATTTTCTTTGTACAGCTTTGGTTATGAGGTATGATACAGTAAATTACTTTAAATTTTATCATATTTTAATTAATGTTTTATCGGTAATATAGTAGGATGTTTTATTCTGTGCTGTGCATATCTTTAACATGAAGAAATACTGAAAATTAAGGCATAGGGCTGTTTGCATGCAAAACAATAAACTGGCATCTGTACTACTGACAGAAGATTTTGTTTTTGTACACAACTACTAACAGTGGTATGGTAATGCTGATGGCACTGCAGTAATTCTGACAGCACTGCATTAATACTGACAAACCATTTTGTTCTGTGAAATATATTTGTTTAGCATGAAACTCTGCAAAACCTCACCTCATGGTTATTGTAGTGCATTGCAAAGCTCAAAATGAATACTTAAATGAAATACTGAAATTCATTACATGTACAAACAGCACAAGATACATTGGTTATTGCTTTTTATATATATATAATTTTTTTATTGTTATTTTTATTTACACACACACACACACTTGTAGTGACTGTATCTGATAGAATGCATTTAGGTACAAGTATGGAATATGTTTTTTCCAAGGAACGTTTACATATTTGAAGTACTTCCACAGAAATTTGATGTATGCTAATCTGGTTTCAAACGCCAAATTTGATGTTATTTTAACCTGTTAAATAAGGAACCTCAGCCAAATAATATTTTAAAAATTTGAGTCCACCCTCCAAGAAAACACATTGCATAGCTTTTTGTATTATCATATCATAGTGGCATTGGAGGTCACCCTAAACTCATAATACTTGCAGGCATCCTACTGACATACCAGCCAGTGGCTCCTGTCTTCAAAGAGCTCCCTGGTCTGCTGGACACCATTGCATCGCCATGACATGTCAGAACATGCAAAGAGATTTCATTTGAACAGCCCACATCATTTTGTTCCATCCTGTGGTTCCTGGAATTTGTCTGAGAAGGAATATTCCTGCCACAGTTTGAAGAGTATTAAGCCCATCCATTGATAAAATTGTGCAGAATACTTCAGTATACTGATAGAAAGAAGAAAAAGGCACTACAAATATGAACCATTCAACAGCATTGTAATATACAAATTCTTGACTTGTGATCGGAATCCAACTGCATATGGTACGTACTGTGCTTTAATTTTTATCTAGAAGCAGTAACCTGTCTGAAAGTGGAAAATATTAAGGCCCCTAAGGATTCAGTTATAAACGGCTTTATTGTACTTGCATCATGGCCCCCATTCCTAGGTCAGATTAGAGTGATAATTTATCATATGTTTTAACACTGGGTTGATTTCTCAAATTCCGTAGTTTACTCATTCTCTTACTCAATAATCATTATACAGTCTACATCCTTCCCTTCCATCACTATTAATATCAGCTAGCAGAGAGAGTAAATTGCTGTGAAAAATCCTGACCCTCTGGGTGTAAGGTTTTGCTTCGGGCCAGTACCTCACATGTGAAAAGGCATTCAAATCTGTGTCTTTTGGGCTAAATACTGCATGAGTACCACTTTCCTCAGATATAAAACATAGAAAGCAGGTGATAAGATAAATAAAGCAAGACAATATTTTTACCAATTAGGGTGAGGGCACACCAAGGAAACACAACCACAATGCAAGCGCAATTTCCGAGAATTGCTGTCAGCCTGAGTTGAACATATACTACTGAAGGGAACAGCGCAAATTGAGGAAACGGCAATGCAGTTTCCTCAATTTGCACTGCTCCATTCAGTAACATGTGTTCAACTCAGGCTGATAACAATTCTCGGAAATTGCGGTTCTCAGTTTTCTTGGTGTGCCCCCACCCTTATAGTGTAGAACCAAGTTGTCCTTATGTCTGTCTTCAGCAAATGCTAGCTAAACAAAGGAAAAGATCACCAGTAAACACAAAGCAACACTAGATACACACAACTAAGAGAGCGGCACACCCAGAGGGGCACAAACACAGCCGCAGTATATAAGATAGGAAGAAAATCATCCTACAACATCAGAATTAAAAAAATGAATAATAACAGCAATGACGTACCTTAATGAATACTATTTGACCAAGTGCACAGTGCAGTTGACTCTTTTAAAAAATGCTTTTCCTGAAGATGGCCCTATGCAGCTGAAACATGTAGCATAAACACCAAATGTACGTATATTTTAGTAATTTTAATGACATTTGAAAATTTAACGAACATTTAGCGAATTGAGTGTGAATTAATGTTGTTAAATTAATATTATTGCATTATAGATGGAAAGGAAGACTATAAGTTATGGGATAAGAGGCTTATAGGACTCCGTAGATGTGACGGCAAAGAGAGAAGTGCTGTTTCTTCAGGGCAGGAAGGAAATGCCAGTGTTGCAGACCCAGCTAGTATTTCTGCTGACATCTATCTGTAATTCATTAAGAAGTAATGAAATAAACCAGATATTAAAGACTACATATTTGTTTTATTGATTATATTGTAATGTATGGACCACATGTTTTGAATCATAACATGACAAATGATAAGATGATATATACATAAATTTAAGCTTTTAACTCTATACTCTTATTACAGTGTTGTTGCAGAACGTTTTTGTTTCTTTAGCTCCCCTCTTCAAAATGCAGATTTACTAGCTCCCACTTTGCTGTTTCTGTATACAGTAAGTTTATTTCCCATATATTTTCTCAATTCCTACAATAGCTTACATACATAAGAAGCTTTCTGTGACTGTACTTTAACTCTGTTTTGAGCATCTGGTGACTGCTTTAGTCAGATAAATATTTCTCTTTGATTGGGGAAGGACTGTTTTCAAAACCCTTCTTGGTAAAGATAACATCCCACCCATGATACAGCACATTATAGTATTAATGACTGTGGGTAAAAAGGAACATTTTTTTTTCTGGCCTTGAACAGTATGGTAAAGCAAGGGAAAAAAAGAAAATTTTCAATAACTGGACCTAAGAACCAGTCCTCTGGATGGTGCAATAGAGATCCAAGTTGTCTGGCCTTGGGATACCCAAATAATTTTTTTTAAGTTTTATGGTGCTATAAAATTGATCCCAAGTTCTTTATTGTTATTTTTTTCTGCCTCAAATTTCCTGTTGGAAACTTCAGCATGTTACCAGACACACAAAGCTATGTAATGAGGCTCAGAAGGAGATAGTGGTGTAACATTCATACATATCTGCAGGGTTCATTTATTCCAGTGTTTACCACCCCCATTCTTCTCTGTGAAAACGTGTATTTGTATTCATTATTTCTTATCACCTTTCTTGTTGGCAGGAGAAACATGCTAAGAACTGCTGGAGTTTTTATAGCTTTATTAGAATTAAGAGCCAATAAGAGTTTCCCCCAGTAAGTCCTTTGGGTCTTGTTTCATGTCCTTTGGAAGCTAAGGCCAAAATCATTGTACATCCCCAACAACTTACCTGGAACTTGCTAATGTTTGTTGGTTATTTTCTTCTATAAAATACACATAGGTAAATGTGGTTTGTAGTTGCTTCATTATATATGTATACGAGGAGAAAAGGAACCTAGTTTAGAATATTCTACTAAAGGACTAGTATTTCAGGTTTCCAAGATGAGCAACGAAATATAACTGGTTTGTTAACCTTGTTCTTTCTCTTGTTCTCTTGGTCATTGGCTTCTTTCTCTCTCACTCTTTCTAGGCCTTCTCCATCTTTCTTTGCCCTTCCCTCTTCCTCCAGTCATTTGGGTTGTGTTTACTTTTTAATCTGCATTTAACTGGTTTGTCAAGAGGAGTAGAGTGGGGGTAAAGGAATTAGAGGGGCAGATAGCCTACAGTGAAAGCAGAAAAATTAATAACAACATGGTAGCATAGTTGATTGAGGCACTATGCTACAAGCCAGAAGGTCGCGGGATTGAATCCCAATGAGGTGGATTTTTTTCAGTTTACCTAATCCTTTCAGCCACACTATGGCCCTGGGGTCGACTCAGCCTCTAACAGAAATTAGTACCAGAAATATTCCCGGGGGTAAAGGGCGGCCAGCACGTAAGGCTGACAACCTCACTGCCTTCTGTGAGCTGATTGTCTAGACAATGTGAGAGCCTCAACCTCTCACAACCCTATGGGCCTTCACGACCTGTTACAGGGATAAATTTACTTTTCTTTAAATGGTAATATTTATTGTGATGGTCATGGCTGGTCTCATCACACATCTAATATGTCTCCTTTTGGACCTTCAGACAATAATAATTAACCAAATGATATTATATGTAGTAGTAATGGAGTGGTGATAAAATTTAAGAATTTTACAATTCGTATTTTGTCCTTTTTGAAAATGTGTGCAATAGGGGATCATTTAAACGTGTGTTATGTAGTTACAGCTGAAATGGGTACATTTGGATACTAGTACATAAATATATTGTCATTTCAGTTAAAATAAACATGGCAATTCAAGTAAAAAATTAAAATTTATTTAAATGAAATGTATATTAAATTCTCTGTAGGTAAACATCTGTGTGACATATTTACCATTCATAATGGTCTAAAACAAGGAGATTCTTTATTGTGGTTGCTTTTCAACTTGCTTTAGAACATGCCGTTAAGAAGATTCAAGAAAACTAGATAGAACTGTAATTAAATGGGAGACATCAGCTTCTTGTCTATGCTGATGATGTAAATCTACTGGGGGACAACATAAATACATTAAAGAGAAAAGGAACCCCAGTTGACACTAGTAATGAGGTTGGTCTAGAAGACTTAAACACAGAGAAAACTAAGTATATGTTAATGTCTTTTCACCAGACTGCAGGACATTCATAACGTAAAGACAGATATTAGATCCTTTGAAAATGTGGCGAGTTCAAATATTTTGGAATTACAGTAGTGAATAAAAATTGGATTCTTGAGGAAATTAAGAGGAGATTAAATTCGGGTAGTGCTGCTACCTTTCAGTTCAGAACATTATGTCCTTTTGTCTGCTGTCTAAAAACGTAAAAATCAAAATATACAAAAATGTAATTTTGCCTGTAGTTTTGTATGGGTGTGAAACTTGGTGTGTGATATTAAGGAAAGAATGTAGACTGAGTGTGTTTGAGAACACGATGCTGAAGAGAATATTTTGACCGAAGAGAGATGAAATAATAGCAGGCTGGAGAAGAATGCATAATTGGGAACTTTATAACTTACACTCTTTGCCATGTATAATCAGAATGACTGAGTCAACAAGGGTAAGGTGATCAGAGCATTTAGCATACATGATAGACAAGCTGAATGCATAGAAGATTTTGGTGGGAAAGCCAGAAGGAAAGAGACAACTAGGAAGACCAAGACATAAATGGGAGAACAGTGTTAAAATGAATCTTAGGGAAATACAGTGGGGTGGTGTAGACTGGATTAATCTGGCTGAGAATAGGGACCAGTAAGGGTTTTTGTGAACAAGGTAATGAACCTTCTGGATCAATAACATTTTGAGAAATTCTTGAGTGGCTGAGCAACTGGTGGCTTCTCAAGAAGGACTCAGCTCCATGGAGTTAGTTACTTGGTTGTGTTTGACATCTAAGCCAGTGGACAATGTCCAACATAATTTTGATAACTATATTATGTAGCAGTTATTTTGTATTATGAGTCATCTGTTTGGAGTTTAATTTGAGCTTTATGTAAAGTAGTGGTCACATTGCACCATACAAACCAAAACTTCTATTGATCGACATGACCTCCACATAATGGATTCATTATATCACTTCGTTCAAAGACTACATACAAATTATACTTCCCCACCTATATATAAACAGTGTTCCCAAAAAGTTAGAAACATATATATGTGATAATTTTGAATCAGTGCCATTAAGTGCATCAAAATATTTACTTCTTGTCTCTCTGCTGGATTCATTAGCACTGTCTGCATAATTTGGCGTGTCAGATCTCAGTGCATGTCTGCTTTGCTGGAGTACCACAGAGTAATTCAAATAATATGAACTCTCTGGCCAGTGTAGCATCTGTCACGCCATCTTGTTATGGTTATGTTGAAAGTTCGCAAATAGAATCTCCCAATAACAGTGATGATAAGATGAGCAGTATAGTAGGAAATGTATAGGAACTATCAAAGGGTGTACAAAAGAAGACCAAATTGTAAATGAAGATATACGACAAGAGTTACAGATTTTTCTGAAGCAATAACAGGCTACAGGGAGCAGAGGTTAGTACGTACAGTAGAAGGATGGAAGATAGTAATCATAAACAAATTCACAAGTAGGCCAGGAGGAAGGGCGGTATATGAGTAGGCCCAGAAAATTATGAATTGAGACGGGAACCACTACCAGCTTAGCCATATCACTCAAGGATTTTCCCAAACCCAGTACAATATGCTCCAAATTGACAACAAAACCACCACAATGTAATGGTTACCATATGTGCTTATTTAGGAGGATTGGATTTAAATTCTCAGTTCGGTGACTGTTTATTTTGCCGACGTTTTTCGTGTCTCCATGCAAATGCTGGGATTAGTATCTTACAACAATCCACGACCATTGCCCCTACATTCTTTCCAGTTCAGAATTAGTTGTATAACCAGTACAGTTGATAAAGGTGTCGTTAAATAAATGAAGAATTTGCACGTTAACGGGAATTAGCAATAGATGCATAGTCTGCCGATTTGCTTCAGACTGATGTCCGCTGTGTGGCTGATATGTCAGACCAGTAACAAATATAATTTCTTGGTTTGATGTCTCAGATGATTTTCCCAAGAACTGCCTGTTCACGTAAGCTCGCCTAACGGTGAGTCCACTTCATCTTGGAGACACTGTTACCCTGGTGACTGCTGTCCAATATTACATATATCGTGCAGTGATCTCGAAGAGGGTAACTTATTTGGTTAATCGACTGTGTACTGTTACAGTTATTCAACCGAAGGTCGCAGTTAACACTTGCGAGGTCGCTGTTTCGAATCTCGGAAAACGGATATCATGATCGGTTTTTCCTCTATCTGTTCCTACCACATCCTTTTCAGCTTATCGCTCACAATCGTCATTTCAGTTTAAACTTAGTACTTTATATAACCTAAGCTGTTGGAAAAGCATCGATAAACAAGAAGAGTTCCAAGCAGAATTCGTAATCATATTTTCTTATTACATAGATTTCTAGTCGTACAAAGCTGTTACTGCTATTTTATTTTTGTGAAGAACTTGTCATGTAAGCACAGATTATGTTTACTTTAAATGTATTAGAACATAAGTTTCCCGTCTTCGTCATGTTTGTGGCTGTTGACGTACAGCGTTTCACACATGATTTGTAGTTAACGTTTATCACATGCCTAGCTCCATTGGTCTCGCGCTCAACGCCATCAAACCGAAAGCTGAAAGAAAATTTCGCACGGCCGCCATGTTGATTTTTATATTGCACAAAAAACTACGTAAAAAGAAGTTGAATATTGTAAGTAGGATTTGAGGTTTTCAGAGCGAAGACTATGAAGAATGCCGTCTTCTGGGATGTG